AGCCCCCAACGCTTTGGCAGGACGGAAGATAACGGCCGCTTTCTGCTGAGTGGCTCTCACCACGGCGAGTGCGTGGCGTGTGCCCCGGGACGCGCATCCATGCAGTCCAGAATGGCAAGGTTGGACCATAACTGGTGCTTCTTGCTTGTCTCGAAACGATTCCCGCGTTCTCCGTCTTACAAACATGCCATTACACACATCCCATCTCGGCCCGTCAGCTTGGCCTTTCAGAAGTCAGCTACTGCTTGGTGATATCCCCCACTTGGCCCGTGGTGTTGTGGTACGGGGCTTTGGAATTCTGGACTTGGTTGTTGACATGCTCGGCGACTGGCTGCTTGTTTCATACAATCAAGTGATAGCCACGCTGTCAGGAAACCATTGGTCTCACCAGGAAGAAGCAGGGGACAAGGGGAGATGTAAACCTTGATAGCCACCCGAAGCAGGGCTGCGATCCTCCGAAACAAAACATAGTAGGGGAAGTGGCTCAGGTATGTCACTGTCTCGAAGTGTCTGTCTCTGGAAGGCTGGTCCATGAGTGATTCATGGCCTATCGCGGGGCTGAAGTTGGACAAACTCCACGGGGCAGCTTCCATCCCTCTGCCGCCGCCCCAGAGCCGACGATCAGCTTCGCGTGCCCATTCAGGAGGCCTCATGACAAGGTTGCCCGGCTCTCGGTGCCGGGAAGTGCAAGATAACGATGCCGCGGAGACAGGGTAGCCGGCACATGCGATGATATAGCATTTCACTCTACGAGCCAGAATAAGACAAGCCTGCATGAGATTAACTACCCACCCCAGCACCACGGAGACAACGGAGGCATTGGAGGAGTGTGATACATCCCAGCCAAACCCCTGAAATAGAGACATGCAAAGACAAGCCGGAGCAAGCACAACAAGCCAGACTCCAGAAGGAGACCTCCGGCGGCGCCTCGGGTATGTCGGTGGATTGCAGCTAGACGCTTTCCTCTCTGAGCACATGGCACCCACCAACCCGCTAGGCAACCAAGGAAAAGCTGCTCAGCACCCGATTCGCGAACCATGGCCGACGATTGAGATCGTATCGACCACGCCCCCGGGCTAAGAATAGTAGCGTGATCGGACGAGATGCGCACTTTTGATTCTCGGCGAATGTCAAATACGGGGCACTGGGCATCGACATCCCGATGGGAGTGCGCGGATGATGCCGGACAAGTTTTCTTGCTTGTTGATGCCCAGGCTAATAATCAAGAAAAACAAACAAGTCGATGCACGCGCAGGTATGTATGTGACATGTATGTATGTATGTATGTATGGCATGGATGGATGGCGTCTCTTGAGCGGAGAGGGATCCAAGGTGTAAGTATTTCGTACCTGAGCTATCACTAGGTGCAAGTTCATTTTTCGTTACGGTGAGTTAAGGATTAAGAGGGCCACAGCCGTGTTGTCGGATCCGGGATGCGGCTTGGTCAGGATCAGGCAGGCTAGGTTTTAGGTAAACAACTCTTGATGATTGAAAATGAGCTAGATATGTACCTCAGCTGAGGTAGCTCACGCAGGTATTAGGACTACGGATCCGTATATGGACTGCCTACTACACGTAAGCTCGAAGGCGTGAGAAAAGGTGATGCAGTGCTCGGCTGGTACAGTACCCCCCAGCGCCCCCTTTTTGCTTCATTCTCCTTTTGCGCCGCCAGCTATCACCTACCAAGATTGGTTTAGCTGCGTTACATGACCGACCATGCCTGTCCTGCCCCTTTGCTCCAATGCAAGTCATCCAGCGTGAGTATGTGTGTACATGAGGTCAGTACACTACATGTTTACTTGCGTAAATGACGGGTGCAGGACGAACGGTGGGGGCTCTGAATGGCCACAGCATCTCCGTGTGGGGCAGGGGTTGATATCAGCACTGCGGCCTTACGCATACGCCGTAAGATACCGTTTGTGAGCTGTACAAACCGTCTTAAATAGGACGTGAGAAGATGTTTCGTACGCATGGAATGTAGTTTGGGCCCTAATACGGACTACTAAATGTCTCTCATCGGAACTGTAAAGATTAGCTATCTTGAACACGCCTCCCAGATACTTCCAACCCTGAGGTTCTCGAGTTGGAGAATAAGGGATCCAGGGGCCTATACGGAATACACGTGTAGCTACGGGTTACCCAGTACGGATACTGTACGGAGGTGGGTGCTGCTGCCGGGCCAGTTCCGCCTCCAACTCATGCCGGCGAACAGTGGGGAAATGGGGTATGATTTTTGATTCTTGTTGAAGAAACTGATAATAATACTGTAAATTTGAAGGAATCGATCCCCTTGTCTGCTTCGGAGAAAATGATGTACGCTGGGTAGGACGGTTCATTTCCAGGCACCCATTGAACGATTGACTCATTGATCCGTATCAGTTCGGCCAAGCCCGTCTGCCCGCTCGCCCCGGAGGCAAACTCGCGACCGTCTCGGGTTTGGAGAAAGTTTCCAGGTTTGGGAGAAAGCTCGACCCACGAGACGACCCAGCAGCTCGCTTGATGCGGCTTTCCGTCTGGAACTGTGCGATTTGAACACCTCTCCGGCCGCAGCAGCAGCGAATTATTTCCCGTCTTTGTCGTCATTCCTTCTAGCCCAGACTAGTCCTTGTTGCTAGGACCAGACCAGACCACGACGTTTTGCAGCAAGCAGCAAGCAGTCGCCGCCGCCGTCAGGGTAATGCCCAAGAAAAGACACCAGACCATATTCTCCAAGCCGCAGTCTACCGCGCCCGCGTCACTCAGCAGCAGCAGTACTGGCAGCAGAAACCAACATGGTTCGTGTTCCCCCAAGCCCCCCTTCCCTTCAGCACCCAAACCAGCATTTTCCCATGTGCCGGGGAACAAACATCGGAAGTTCCGGAGTTGCTTCCACGGGCGGACGTGCAGTTTGCGCCTCCCTGCCTTTTCGCTTCTGCGACGCTTCCTCCCGTTGCCTTCCACAAACATTACATGCAGTGTCCGATGAACTGACGTCGAACGGGCCGGATCGAACTCGTGCAGACGACCAATCTCAAAGCAGCAGCAGCCGCAGCGTCAACCAGCTGCTCGCTGATTTGCGTCGGGTCGGCTTGAATGGTAGTGGTGGCGGCGCCGCCGCCGGCGTCCATCCGACCGTTCCGCCCGCCATCCGTGATATTCTCCAACTCCCCGAGACACCCGCTCCGCGTCCTCGCGGCAGCGGCGGCGGCGGCCGGCCCGCGCGCCTCGATGCCGCCGGCCGGAGACTCCCTCCGGGTCCTGCGCCTCCGCGGAGCTGGCTGTCCTCCTCGACCTCCTCCCGGCGCATTGGAGCTCCACGTGACGGTGGTACCTCAGAAAGGTCCTCGGAGCAGCACCACCGCCCGCTGCCCGGAGCCTACCTCCCGGAAAGAGGCAGCCTGGTCGACATGGTGCTGCGCCGGTTTGCTCTCGACTGGGAATTTCAGAGAATTTATTGTCAGTACTATCTCTACGACTTGCCCACACATCTACGTGTTGCTCTGGTGCGGTATGTGGGCGTTTGGGGCAGTGATAGCGGTGTTTCTCTCGCCGACCTGCAGATACTCCTCTCGCCGCTACCCATGGATGGCATCGAGGACGGCGAGAGCGGCATCTCGGAAGAAATCAGTCCAAGCACGGCGAATGAAGCGTTCACCCACCTGGATCTTACTGGGTCTGTCGGTCGATCTCTGAGGTTGCGGGAGCTATCTGACTTGCTGCTTCCCCCTCAACAGCCAGGAAAGTCAGCGCCCGATCTGCAGGACTCATGGGATGATGCGCCTGATGATCAGCCCGCTGCCGTTAGTGTAGTGACCATCCCACGCCCATTACTTCCGAATCTAACACACCTCTCGCTGGCGCTCAACCCGGACGCAGCTCCTCCTGCCACGACTGTCTCGTGGCGTCACCTCCTCGCCTTTGCAGCCAGTCACTCCTATCTCACCCATTTGAGTCTAGCATTCTGGCCGGAGCCGTCGCTGACGCCCGACGCGAAATACGCGTCCGTGGTGTCGGCGCAGGGTCGCGTCGTGCAGTACGGCGGCACTGGCCCGTACAGCCACTCGCTCGATAATGATTGGTCCGAGGCCGTCATGGTCGCCCGCCGCCTGAGCAAGAGCCTGTATGAGCTCGAGTACCTGGATCTGACGGGTTGTGCGGGATGGAGCCCGGCGCTGTGGTCGAGCGCCGAGCATGATGTCGTTGATTGGGTCGGGCAGTGGGGCAAGATCTCGACTATACTGCTGTACCCTGGCTACGAGTTAGGGGAAGCGGCGGCTGGGATAGCTGAGACGGCGAGGTACCGCGAGCTGGTGGGCAACGCGAGGCGGTTGGAACGGCATGTTAGGAGTTGTAGGGCTGGACGGGGAACGTTTATTACTGTTGAGACTAGTAAGATGCCCGATCATGGTAGGCTGGGATAGCATCCATCACGTACGGGTTACCTAGGTACCTGAGTATTCTGCTGGAACCGGAAATATATCTTTGGGCTTCAAGGGCTATGATTCTGGGGTATCTCTTTATGAACTGTCTATATCTATCGTAGAGACAATAAGACAGAATACTGATAGAGGGGGTCTGCCTGGTGGCCAGATCTTGAGGGAGAACTCTACCAAAGATTCTTCGACCAACCGGGGACTACGCAAAGGTTACCACTGCTGCATGGTTAGAGGAGAGTCTTTTTCTAAGAATCTAGTCAGAGAGAGCTCTGTTGTAAGGATGACGACGGCGGCAACCCTCAAAAAGCAGCTTTGAAAGGAACCTCATAAGTTGTTTACTTTCTCAAGGGGGTGTGGTGGGTGGTTTCCCGGTTTCCGGCGCCGAGCCCAAAGGCTTCCGGAAGAAGAACTGTTGGCTAAAGTCAGCAGCAGTTTTCTACGGTAAGTGTTAAATACCTACCAGGAAAGAGCCCGGCGTGAATGAATGAATGAATGTCTTGACTGTCCTGGGGACTGTCCTGGGAATGAATAGTAGAAGATAAGTTGTTTACTTGGATAAAATAGTCAGCAACAACAAAATAAAAAGCCCGTATAGCTCAGTGGTAGAGCGCGTCACTCGTAGGACCTTTGCCTCAGGGTCTAGCTATGATACGTATGACGAGGTCCACGGTTCAATCCCGTGTGGGGGCATTCATTCCTTTTACCCTTTTTTTAGTTTGTTGCTCCGTTTGTGATTTCTTTCTCTTTTTGAAGTGGTGGAGTTTTTTGTTTTTGTTCGCTGGGCGGACGGACGGGCGTATCTCCTTTTCGGCATCAACAGTTTGTTCCACCTACCTACCTAGGTACCCACTCTGTAAACACGCGGACCTAATTTGAGCTGTTGTCGACCTGAGTGAACTATGTAAAAGTAGGAAAGTCATCTATTACTCGACTTCCCCTCCCCTACCAGGTCGTGGAGGGGAGCGAAAAGAAAGAAAAGGGTTGTATTGTGTTGTGTGTCGTCGTGAGACCTATCGTTCCTCGCTCCATATGTATGATGCCCTTCTTTGACTGACAGACATTTGCTACTAGTTCATGATTCTCGCGGTGCCCGTCTGCTGCTTGTCTATAAATATAATTCATCATTGCTCTGGAAAAATCAAATATAACAACATTGCTCTTTTACGTACTCTCATTACCCCATCAGCCACCCCATCCCTAACTAGCGTTCATCCATCCTCCCTGTCCTTACGGCGCTTAGTTCATAGATAGGTTTGCCACCCTCTTTCTGCCAGGAAAAGTAACTCTTCCAGCCAGCGAAATGACCACTTTTGTTTGTGCGAGGAACCTTGACCGTCTATAACTGGATGTAGCCACACAACACCAATAAGTCCAAACTAGTCCAACCAACTAATATCGTCCCGCCACCTAGGCCAGGTAAGCGCGCACAGCATCCCGCAACTTGCTCTGAGCCTCGCCGACCAAGTGCGTTAGGTTCTCCAAATCATCGCCGGCCGTTATCCCAAACTTGCGGACAAAGTCCTTGGCGGCGGACTCGAGGTCGCCGTACTCCTCGCCGCCGTCGTCCTCCTCGGGGCGACCAAAGTAGGCGTTGGACGAGATGGCGGTGGCTCCCTCAAAGTTCTGCAGCCGCGTCTTGGCCTCGGCTTGCGCGTTGGGATCAAAGTTGCCCTTGCCGAAGAATTCGTCCGAAGAAATGGCCTTTTGGCTGCCGAACTTGTTACGAGCATAGCGCTCTTCGTCTTCTGTAACCTGGTGTTAGTCACACGAAATCCATGATATGCGGCGGTAAAAAAAAAGGGGGTAAACATACCCTCAGCAGCAGAGGCCTTGATAGGACCGACCGACCCAAAACCACCAGCATTCTTCTTGGGCGCGGCCGCCTTGTTACCGCCCACCTGACCGAAGCCCAAGCGGGCGACACCCATGCCAAGACGCTCCAGTTCGGAGGCCGACTTCTCGCGACTGTGCGAGGCGGACCCGTAGCCTCCCCGCGCCGGTGGACTTACCGGAGTCGGGGATATGATCGAGCTCGACTCGGCCTTGTTGGACTTTGAGCCCATGGCTGCTGCGTCTTCCTCCTCGGCGTCGGGATCGTAGCCCAACTTCTCCTTGCGCTCGGCCTCTTCCTTGGCCCTCTTCTCCGCCTCGTCAAAGTCGATAACGTCGCTCGTCAGCTTCTTGACTCCCAACTTCTGCGTCTTCTTGGCCCCCAGCACGTTCGCCTTGCGCGGGCCGGCCGAGGGCGTCGTTTTCCTTAGCGCGGCAGAGGTCGTGATCCGGCTCGCGGGAGCCGGCCTGGCAGCAGTGTCGCCGCCCTCGGTCTTGGCGAGGGGCGAAGTACCGCGTGCGATATCCTTTCCGTTGGCTCCGGGGTTGAGGAAAGGGGATGGCGTGCGGCCGCCGACCACCGGCGGGGTGGCGGTCCGGGAAATAGGCGGGGTGGGCTTCTTGATCGCGGGCTTGTCCCAGCTCGAGAAGAAATCGTCCTCGGGTTCGCCGGCGGGAGTATTGCTATCGCCGGCATCCGCGCCGTCGTTGATAACCACCTCGTTGGGATACCTAAAACGCCATGTCAGCATCAGCACACAGACAGAAAGTCGGCCAACTTCAGAAAGGGCGAAGCAGTAACGCACTCTTTCGCGTCCCTGGCGGCTCGCTTCTTTAGTTCCTCCTTGTATTTGGTCGCCGCGCTCGACTGGTACTTGGTCTTGGGGTCCTTGCTGTTCAGGGCGGCGGAACCGCCGTTTTGCTGGAAGAACTTAGTGGCGGACTCATTGCCGCCCACCTTCATGACCCGCAGCTGATCCCATTGCCATTCTGTTCACACCTGGAAGTCAGCCAACTGGTTGTCCACCCTCCATGTATTGCAGAAAACACATACGGTCGAGATTGGTAGACCGAACGAACGAGATGTGGACGCCGAGGTTGCGATGGTTAGAAGAGCAGTCGAGGCATAGATAGATGCCAAAGGGAACCGAGGTCCAGGTGGGATTGTTTTGTCCGCAGTCAAAGCAGGTCTGTTATTTATCAGAAGCAATTTTAGTATGCGAAATAAGCCTGGCGCGTTGAAGAGAAACTTGCCTTGTTCGCCTGCTTCGACTTGAGCTTCTCGAAGATCTTTTGCGACTGCTGCTTTGTTGCGAGACCGCTCATCTTGGCGCCCTGTTTCTGTAATAATTGACTCGGTATCGGTTTTGGTTGCACGATCCTCCAGGGGGAAAATTCGAGATCCGTGTCAGTTATGCGCGATGTGTCGAGAATGCAAGTTGTCAAAACCGGGAATTGGGCAAAAGTTAATTAACGGATGTCGTGATGCCCCCCTTTCTAATAATATGGCGGCCCTTCAGGAGACAGTGGAGAGAGGGCCAGAGTTCACTGCCCCGGGCCCCGGCCCCGACGCCATCCATGCCACTGTGGCAGCAACCGCCAACCAGATAACAGACTAGACCTGATTGGACCTAGCGCTAATTGACCCCACGGTACTCGTCCCGTGACTTTGAAGAACTGCCGCCCCGGCAAGGTTTCGACAACCAAGCTTTGAGCTTCCAGAGCTCCGAAAGCTCCATCTAGTTTCAACTTGACCGACACCTCACGAGAAACCTAACCGGCCAACCAAAGCCGTCAAGCCATGGTGCGGCGCACCGGCTTCACCTCCAACAACAAGCCGCCATGATGAAACTATTCCCGGCCGCCCCGGGGCTTGGAGGACTTCGGCTTCTCCGCCCCACCACCACCACCACCACAGCGACGACGACGAAGACAACCGCCGCGGTGGTCTCGGTCCACGCCGTAGTCGCGAATCGACGACGCCATGCTTCAACCTCAAACGAGTCAAAAAGGAGAGCCGTAACGCCATTCAACGACGACGGCCACGTGCCCTGGACGAACCTCTCGGCAGGCGAAAAGACTGCCCGCGCAACCCAGCAGACCTTCAACTTCGGCATGGTGATAGTGGGCCTGGTCCTGACCGGCGGAGTGAGCTACTTCCTCTACCAGGAAGTCCTGTCGCCCGACAGCAAGACGGCCTACTTCAACCGCGCAGTGAACCGAATCAAGAAGGATCCCAGATGTCTGGAATTGTTGGGCGACCCGAAAAAGATTACGGCTTTTGGCGAGGAGACGCAGAATAAATGGCGGAGGGCGAGGCCTATCGCGTAATTATGTCTTTTCCTTTTTTTGGCAGGGCAGGGTGCTGACAATGTATTAGGTCTACGGTCACGAAAGATAGTCGGGGGAATGAGCATCTCATGATGCATTTTAATGTTTGTCCCAACCCAACCCACTAAGATGGTGAATGTGAGGATTTTTAACAGACGGGATTAGGTACAAGGACCCAAGGCCACGGGGCAGGTGGGCATGCATCTGATCAAACGCGCCGGGCAGCACGAGTACGAGTATAGATATTTCTTTGTTGACGTCAAAGGCCAGCATAGGATCTACCTCGAAAACTCCGAGGCAGCAGCGTCGTCTGCTGCGAAAGGAAAGGACAATAAAGAGTTTAAACTCTTTGGAGTTAAGTGGAATTGAAAGACGTTACCGTCCGTCTTATTCTTGTCTGTTTGAAGGCACTGTTTGGTCTGATTGCGTACCATGTTTCGAACTTCCACAAAGGAAAGGGGAGAGGTGGTGGAATATCTGCGGCAAATATGATTGAAGGATATATACTTTTTTGCTAGCCGGAAGTACTTTGTACACGCGCAGAAAACTTCAAGAACGAACTGGAGAATATTGCAATTTGGTGTCCGCTCCAAGCTCTCATCAGGTTGCATCTCTCTCTGCTAACGAAATATCTAAAGTATCAGGCCCCGACAAGACGGCATAGTATGACATCCGTTTGGCCCCTATGGCTAATAAAAAAGTAAAATAACAAGAAGTAAAGTAGTAGAAGAGGAATCATAATGATACAAATCCTTTTTGCTTTCTCGGGGTAAGTAAGGGGCACACTTATGCGGAAGGAATAGCCTCAAAGGAAGAAGAGAAAAAAAAATCCCCGGTGTGCGATATTGTTGGCCGAGACTCCGTCGCAAAACAGGTAATAAGAAAGAACAGAAGAGAAGAAACCCTAGCTACGACGAGAAAAGAAAAACTAATCTTTATGAATCGGGAGAAACAACGCCAGGAAGAGTCCCACTCCGCAACAAACGAACAACCCCTTTTCCTTTTCCGACAATGAATTGAAAGAATAAGAAAAAAGCAGCAAACCAACCAACCAGCCGTAGCAACCGAAACATGAAGTCCCCCAAAACAATATTACTTCCACCATCTCTAAGCCTCCTCTAATGTCATGAGCTCGGACGCCTTACAGAGCAACTGCCTCCACTGCTTATGCGCCTTGGTCTTGTCTCTGCCCGACCTTGGTCATGCGTTCGCGTCTCCCAACCTTTGCAACTGGCTCTCGGTGTGTGTCGCCTTGTCCTTATCCTTCCACCCCTTTTTCTTCTCCTACGCAATCCAGATTCGACTCTGAACTTGCCCGACTCCAGAGGTCCCTGTTCTTCGTCTTCTTGTTTCACTCCCTGCTGCTCCTTGCCCTCCATCCAAGCGTCACAGGCGGCCTTCTAGTTCCCCTCATCGCCATTCATCTTAGATATCCACTTATTCATCTGTGAGTACTTGTCCTCGAAAGTCTTTTGCAGTCTCTCGCATGCGGCCCACATGGGGTGTTTATCTGTCCAGTAGGTGTAGCA